ATGTATAATAATTGTTGGGTTGGATTGGAAAAATATTGAGAAAAAAAATGTTGAAATAAAACTTACATTTTCGTATAACCTAAAAATATCAAAAAAGATGCTAATTTAAAAATTCCTGGAAGCCGTATTTATTGAAATTAAGGAATGAAACTTATTTCAAATTAAAGCTCAAAGCTTTCTCTTTAAAATGATGTATAATAGTTGATGGTACCATCGGGACACAAAGGGTTAAAAGATTTTTCGTTATCTCTCCAACTTGGTGTAAACATGTTAAATAATTTTAATAAAAATTGTGTTAGGTTCTGTAGCGAAAACCGGTTGGTTTCGGCCATCTGTAAAACTGTTAACGGCGAATAAAAGGCACATCGGTGCATTGGCACGTCTTGGATGGTTACCAACACTAAGAAGTATTCGTAGATTTAATAGATCAGGAAGATCAAGTGTTTCCTGTGATTCAAGGTTTGAAGTGTAGATTGTTTTAAATGTGTAGTTTGTAGATTTTTTAGAGATAGTATTGTTGTTATTTTTAGAGTAGTTTCTTAATAAAAACGAACATCAGGGAGTTAACGGTTTGAAGTCGGTCCCCTTTTGCTTTGTCTTTTACTGGTCACAATTTCACGGCATTTCGAACGTTTTGTTTCACTTTGAAGTCATAAAATTTACGACTCCACAGAACCGGACCTAAATAAATCCAAAAAGAATTTTTCTACGTACATTTTATAGGGTATTTTTAATCACATTTTTCTTGTTTTTAGGCCGTTTACCGCAAATGGGAAAATCCAGAACAACGCCATCCCCGAAGTCACGTTTGAATTAATGGATAAACAAGTACCATCCGATGTTTATCTTCAATATAGGGATAAATAGATTGTTTGAATTTTTTTTTTTTTTTTTGGGGAGAGAACAAACAAAGTTGGGATTATTAAAGTTTTACATATCCAAGAAAAAATGTTTAAAAATCATATCGTGAAATAAATATCATTGTTTCTTCCAAAAAAAAAAAAATTAAAAAAGAAATGAATTCAACAATCAAGAATATCGCCAAAACATATTCAATTCGCGGTGATAATAAAATGATTCTTTAAAAATTATTTTATTATCGACGTGATTAAATTTAAGATTTAAGATTATAATTAAAAATAATAATTATTTCATCATCACCACGACGTTATGATTAAGTTAAATCTTCGATTGAGATAATCTCAAATTGTAGAAGGGCTGGATCTATTATATTGAGATTTATTTTCGATAAAAACTTGAATGATAAAGATAACCTGATGACAATAACCAAGAAAATATTATGCTGTACTTGACAATACTTATTAAAATAAATAAATGTAAAATGTTTAAAATTAAAAAAAATAATGAAACGTAAAAAATGTGTTATGTAAAACGAAGAAGTCTTCCGCGGGCTTCTCTGTCATTGCGTAATTGACAATAATATTGAAGAAAAAAATTTAAAAAAATAATAATGACAATAATATAGTCGAAATTTTCTAATAGGTGTTTAAAGAACTAAATTATTATATTCATATACTTATTATAAATGTGTTATTTATGTAACTGTATTTAGTCTTAAATAAATATATCTACACGATCAAGATTTTGTTTTAAATGATTCAAAATTAAAGAAAAAAAATAAAAATTCCTAATATTTATTACATAGCACATATTCACTTATAAATATTACATACCTACACGCATTATTTCTTTTTCTGTTGCTAGACCAATAAAATTAACCTTTCAATACACGAAAAATTCAAACAATTTGCACTAGTGCCATCTTTTGTTGAGTAGTTGTATTAAAACTTCAATTATACAGGCTGTCTCAGCGAGACCGGTCATTAGACGTTTCTGGGGTTCTGGAAAAACGAAAAANTTAAGTGTTCTATGATTTTTTGAACAAATGTCCGCTGGAGCAAATTTTTCTAGAAAAATTCGAATAACTCGAGAATTGCTGGTTCAAATTGCAAAAAGTAAAGTTATTTATAAACCTTCAAAACAGACAAATCCAAATATGTAAAAATATACAGGGTGTTCCATTTAAAAAAATAAAGTAGGCGGGGATTTCCGGTATAACCGGAAATGCTAGAAATCTGAAAATATTTTAGACGAAGAGAATGTAATTGATAATACTTAAGTCTGAATTCTCAAATTTTTATTTTGGCCAGAACCTCAGAAACGTCTAATGACAGGTCTCGCTGAGACACCCTGTATAGATTTAATATAAAAAATAAAGCTTGTAAATCCTTTTCCCGGCAACCATTTCTTTAGATAAACATAAGCGTGGGTACTGGAAGGTTAACTTTAAAATTCGATGTAGTAAAATAATCAAGTGTTCTAGCAACTATTAAAAAAAAAAAGTTTCAAACACACTATAAACACTATACACAGTTAATAATAATAAAGTGATTCGTTTTATGCCCAATAATTTTTACCAACAACATTCGAATACTGATTACTACCACTTTGATAACTTTCCGGATTAAATTGATGCATGTCACCGACATTCAAGCAATTCTGATGACCCCAAACGCCGTTTTTCGCCCAATTCGCCGTCTCGTTATTCATTTCCTTCTCCCCTTCCTTCCTATTACCCCCGCTTAAATCGTTCGCTAAATTTAAATTGGAAATAGCCGCCGAAGACTGTGCGGCGATGTGCGATTGCGCGTGGGCCATTTGCGCGTGCGCAAACGCGTAATTAGCGTCGAAGAGGGCGGCGTAATCGTTTCGCGCGCCCTCTTGGTTATTACTGGTGTGATGTACGTAATGATTGTGTGCTGCTTGTTGGAAAACGTAAGAATTTCCGTATTGAGCCGTGTTGCGCCAATCGGATTGAGAAGAGGAATTTTCAACGCTGTACTGACAAGGGTTGGTTAAAGGTAGTGAACCGAAACTTAAGGTGGCACCACCGTTCGTTGAATGTTTCCGGAGACGTGCTCGACGGTTTGAAAACCACACCTTTAATTTAGAAAACGTTGGGAAATATTAAAAAAAAAATTCTAAAAAAGATTCTAAGAATAGAGTTGATTGTAATTAATGGGGCACGGAACTTTTGTAACAAAACAACACGATTTCCCCCCTCCACTCGTTCTCAGCAGAAAATTTCATACGAAAGTTGTTCTAAATTAAATTCTAAAACGATTTTTTCAATAAAAGAATATATAAAAATATATATATAAAAATTTTTTTTAGTTTATGTTGTTAATTATTGATCAAATCAAAAAATTTTATTAACAATATTTGTTTAGAATTACTTCAGGAACAGTGTTTGTTAATAAAATTTTTTGCTAACTTGAAATTTTAATTTCCCTCTGAATAGTATGCTATCAAAATTAATTATCTCAATAATTATTGTTTTTATCAAAAAATGTTTTAAATAAAATTTGTTTCAATTTCGATTTTGAATCAATTATCTTAATAAAAAAATTTTACATCTCTATTAATTAAGCATCTAAGTATAATTATGTATAAAAACGGAAAAATTATTATTTTGAGGTTATCTCCTTAATTATTGATTAAATCAAAAAAAATTGTTGACAAAGTTTGTTTAGAATTGTTTCAGGAACAATTTTTGTTAACACAATTTTTTTCTAACTTGAAATTTTAATTTCCCACTGAACAGTATGCTACAAAAATTAATATTTTTGAGGTTATATCCTTATTGTTGATTTAATCAAAAAATGTTGTTAACAAAATTTGTTTAGAATTACTTCAGGAACAGTGTTTGTTAATACAATTTTTTGCTAACTTGAAATTTTAATTTCCCTCTGAATAGTATGCTATCAAAATTAATTATCTCAATAATTATTGTTTTTATCAAAAAATGTTTTAAATAAAATTTGTTTCAATTTCGATTTTGAATCAATTATCTTAATAAAAAAATTTTACATCTCTATTAATTAAGCATCTAAGTATAATTATGTATAAAAACGGAAAAATTATTATTTTGAGGTTATCTCCTTAATTATTGATTAAATCAAAAAAAATTGTTGACAAAGTTTGTTTAGAATTGTTTCAGGAACAATTTTTGTTAACACAATTTTTTTCTAACTTGAAATTTTAATTTCCCACTGAACAGTATGCTACAAAAATTAATATTTTTGAGGTTATATCCTTATTGTTGATTTAATCAAAAAATGTTGTTAACAAAATTTGTTTAGAATTACTTCAGGAACAGTGTTTGTTAATACAATTTTTTGCTAACTTGAAATTTTAATTTCCCTCTGAATAGTATGCTATCAAAATTAATTATCTCAATAATTATTGTTTTTATCAAAAAATGTTTTAAATAAAATTTGTTTCAATTTCGATTTTGAATCAATTATCTTAATAAAAAATTTTTACATCTCTATTAATTAAGCATCTAAGTATAATTATGTATAAAAACGGAAAAATTATTATTTTGAGGTTATCTCCTTAATTATTGATTAAATCAAAAAAAATTGTTGACAAAGTTTGTTTAGAATTGTTTCAGGAACAATTTTTGTTAACACAATTTTTTTCTAACTTGAAATTTTAATTTCCCACTGAACAGTATGCTACAAAAATTAATATTTTTGAGGTTATATCCTTATTGTTGATTTAATCAAAAAATGTTGTTAACAAAATTTGTTTAGAATTACTTCAGGAACAGTGTTTGTTAATACAATTTTTTGCTAACTTGAAATTTTAATTTCCCTCTGAATAGTATGCTATCAAAATTAATTATCTCAATAATTATTGTTTTTATCAAAAAATGTTTTAAATAAAATTTGTTTCAATTTCGATTTTGAATCAATTATCTTAATAAAAAATTTTTACATCTCTATTAATTAAGCATCTAAGTATAATTATGTATAAAAACGGAAAAATTATTATTTTGAGGTTATCTCCTTAATTATTGATTAAATCAAAAAAAATTGTTGACAAAGTTTGTTTAGAATTGTTTCAGGAACAATTTTTGTTAACACAATTTTTTTCTAACTTGAAATTTTAATTTCCCACTGAACAGTATGCTACAAAAATTAATATTTTTGAGGTTATATCCTTATTGTTGATTTAATCAAAAAATGTTGTTAACAAAATTTGTTTAGAATTACTTCAGGAACAGTGTTTGTTAATACAATTTTTTGCTAACTTGAAATTTTAATTTCCCTCTGAATAGTATGCTATCAAAATTAATTATCTCAATAATTATTGTTTTTATCAAAAAATGTTTTAAATAAAATTTGTTTCAATTTCGATTTTGAATCAATTATCTTAATAAAAAATTTTTACATCTCTATTAATTAAGCATCTAAGTATAATTATGTATAAAAACGGAAAAATTATTATTTTGAGGTTATCTCCTTAATTATTGATTAAATCAAAAAAAATTGTTGACAAAGTTTGTTTAGAATTGTTTCAGGAACAATTTTTGTTAACACAATTTTTTTCTAACTTGAAATTTTAATTTCCCACTGAACAGTATGCTACAAAAATTAATATTTTTGAGGTTATATCCTTATTGTTGATTTAATCAAAAAATGTTGTTAACAAAATTTGTTTAGAATTACTTCAGGAACAGTGTTTGTTAATACAATTTTTTGCTAACTTGAAATTTTAATTTCCCTCTGAATAGTATGCTATCAAAATTAATTATCTCAATAATTATTGTTTTTATCAAAAAATGTTTTAAATAAAATTTGTTTCAATTTCGATTTTGAATCAATTATCTTAATAAAAAATTTTTACATCTCTATTAATTAAGCATCTAAGTATAATTATGTATAAAAACGGAAAAATTATTATTTTGAGGTTATCTCCTTAATTATTGATTAAATCAAAAAAAATTGTTGACAAAGTTTGTTTAGAATTGTTTCAGGAACAATTTTTGTTAACACAATTTTTTTCTAACTTGAAATTTTAATTTCCCACTGAACAGTATGGTGTTCTTTTAATCAGAACGAGTGGAGGGGGGAAATCGTATCGTTTTGTTACAAAAGTTCCGTGCCCAAGTAATTAATGTGGTTAAGATTTAATGGGTTGGGTTGGTTTTTATGTTTAATGGGTTAATAAATGTGGCCCAAGAAGAGATGGTTTTTCTTGAAAAAATTAAAATTGAAAGGAAATAAATTGATAAAATACAAAAATAACCTGAATCCTAGCTTCGGTTAATCCGGTTTGTTGAGCTAGTTCTTCTCGCGTATAAACATCCGGATATTGGGATTTAGTAAAAGCTCGTTCTAAAGCCTCCAATTGTTCCCCAGTGAACGTCGTTCTTGCCCTTCGTTGTTTTCGTTTTAATGGAATTCCTGGTTCCGATTCGGTATCGCTATCATCTTCTCTACCTAAAACAAATATTAAAAAGTAAAAATAAAAAATAAGTAAGTACTTTTTCGAAGAAACTTTTCAACGGCATTTTATGCGTTAGCGCAAACCGGCAGCGCTTAATAACTTTTATTACTCGTATAAATAAGCATCGTTTAAGCGTTTTGATATAGTAGAGAGGCGGGAACAAGTTTAAACGCTTAGAGGGACGTGTCGTTGTATTTATCAACACGCAACACAACAGTGGGAACTTATTAAATCTGCGGTTGAAGTCTGAGCACAACCTCGTGAATTCAAAAAAATCCCTTTTGTTTTCTCTCACCCTGTATATTTTATTTTCATGTCCTTTATTAATATAATTACGTAATTAGTGACGCGACTTAAATTAATTTATTGTTCCGAAATTAATTTACATTCTTGAAATACATTCGGTACACTCATAACATATACCAAATTTGGTTTTTCTAGCTTAATGTATTACGAAGATATTCAATGTTTTAAAAATTTAAGACCCAACTTTGAACGCCTATAACTCCTCAGGGGTACAACTTAGTATAGAGATAATTTGCGTTAAATCATCTTAATTTATTGTCCTCTACATGTCCCTGCTCTGTGTCGGTTCTTATGTGAATCACCCTGTATATTATATAATAGTGAGGTTGAAATGTCAACCTCACTTTTGACATATTTATAATCTTCATTAAAAATCCTTTAAAATGAGTACCAACACGACATGTTTAATTTCAATATTAATGAAGTTATGATCAATTTCCGGTTTGAAATGTCAACCTCACTTTTGACATATTTGTAATCTTCATTAAAAATCCTTTAAAATGAGTACAAACACGACATGTTTAATTTCAATATTAATGAAGTTATGGTCAATTTCCGGTTTGAAATGTCAACGTCAATTTTGACATATTCGTAATTTTATTAAAATGTCTTAAAATAAATATAATTTTTCATAGAAAACGAAAATACAAGTAAAAATCTCAAAAATTAAGGTTGGTATTAATATTTAGAAATTATGTTGCTAACTTCATTGTTGTCAACTTTACGTTTAATATTTTTTATTCTAACTTTTTTGTTTTTCGAGATAAATGCGTCATGTTTGGGCTCATTTGAAAGATTATTTAATAAGGATTACGAATACATCAATATTAAAATTGACATTAACACCATGAAGTTGTCAACTTTGAAATGTCAACCTCAATTTTGACATATTTGTAATCGTCACTAAGAATTCTTTGAAATGAGTACCAACACGACATATTTAATTTCAATATTAATGAAGTTATGATCAATTTCCGGTTTGAAATGTCAACGTCAATTTTGACATATTCGTAATTTTAACGTTCATTAAAAAAACCTCTAAATTGGCACGATTACTCTTCAGATGTTGTCAAATAGATTGTCATTTCTTGTATCAGAGTATCTTATACAGGGTGGTCAAAAATTGAATTACCATATTCAATGGCTAGAAAGTCGAAAATTTTAAACGGAATGCCCCGTATTTTTTTAGCCTATCAGAAAGGGAATTTAATTCTCTACAAATTATCTATAAACATTCTTCTACCTATTTATTGTAGTTTCCCTGATATTTTGAAATTAATCAAAGCATGCACGGAATGCGGGAAAATGCGGATTTTGATTAATTTTCCAATATCAGGGAAACTACGCTAAATAGGTATAGGAATGTTTATAGATAATTTGTAGAGAATTAAATTCCCTTTCTGATAGGGTAAAAAAATACGGGGTGTTCCATTCAAAATTTTCGACTTTTTCGCAATTGAATATTGAGAAACGATAATTCAATTTTTGACCATCCTGTATAAGATTCTTTGATACAACAAATGACAATCTATTTGGCAGCATCTGTAGAGTAGTCGTGCCAATGCAGAGCTTTTTTGAATGATCGTTAGCTGAGATATGGGCTTTTGCGAAATTTGTCAAAAAACACTTCAAATCAAAATAACTCGAAAACAAAAAACGCTAGGTACCAACAACTTTTATCAAAGTCAACATATTTTTTTACGTATAATTGAAAGGTGTAATAAAAACTATAGCATTGCATTTAAAATAACGAAGTTGTGGTCTACTTCCGGTAGACCGGAAGGGGTGGCCATCTTGAAAATATTTTAGATCGAAAGTTTAGAATGAACAACCCAAAATTTCAAACCACTACGAATAGTGGAACCTTAAAAAGTTCTAACGAATCAGTTACGTGAAACACCCTGTATACAGGGTATACAGGGTGTATCTCGACAACGGTAAGGCCTAGAGGTTTGGGAAAAAAATCTTTATAAGCAAAGTGACCAAGAGAAATAGCTGGAAATTATTTCGAAGTTCGTAATTCGACCGCTAGGGGGCGTAACTGCCATAGAGAAACATAAAATTGCCGCTATCTCAGAAACTTAGACGATGAGCTATAATTTTGACAACATCATTTAATAGCTTGGATAATACCGCATCGTTTTTGTTTTGCGATATTTCTCATATCTGTCATAATAAGGGAGGGGGAGGCCAATGCGTTTTCATATGTTTACATATTAATATCTCCTGGACCATTCAACCGATTTGAATATTTTTGGTGTTGTTTGAAAGAGCATTTTATGCTCTTTTTAAAGATATTTTCAATAAGACCGTTTGCTTTAAAACAAATAAGCTAGAGGGCGTTATCTGTAGCGATTACATATTTTTGTGATTTTTGAAGAAAAGTTAAATGGAACGATACTATTTACTTCACAAATTCTTAGTCATCTTAAAATTTGCTAAATTTTAGTGAAAACCGCATCTCGATATCGCTACCCGTTCTCGAATTATAGAAGAAAATGTTAAAAACTCGAGAGCAAAAATGTGCAATGCAATTACGACAAAGAAAGACATTTTTTATTAACAGATACCTTATAATCGGTATCTTAACAGATACCCGTAGTACTCTAAATACCCTAATACTCTAAATACCAGCAGAAACGTGTCCAGGGCCGAATTTGTTTCCTAAAGTAACTTGATCCGATTAAGATATACGAATTTTTAACATTTTCTTCTATAATTCGAGAATGGATGGAGATATCGAGATGCGGTTTTCACTATTATTTAGCAAATTTTATAGTGATTAAGGGTCTGTGAAGAAAACAGTACCGTTCCGTTTAACTTTTTTTCAAAAATCACAAAAATATGTAACCGCTGCAGATAACGCCCTCTAGCTTATTTGTTTTAAACCAAGCGGTCTTACTGTAAATATCTTTTAAAAGAGCATGTAATGCTCTTTCAAACAAGACCAAAAATATTCAAATCGGCTGAACGGTCCAGGAGATAACCTCTAGGCGTTACCGTTCTAGAGATACAGTACGGAGCACGCTTAACGGGACACCCTGTACATATAATTTTGTATAAGGAAGGATTTTAGCATAAATCGCCGAGGTCGCTTGCGGGCGAGGCGCTATAAATGATACATCAACACGAAATTATTAATTTTGTACAATTTTAGTGCCTCGCTAAAATAAAAAATCGATTTTGTACAAAATTTTAATTAAATTGCATCCCCGAAAATGGTACTTAACCTTTATTTTTGTTGTATAAATCAAATTCAGGTTGAAACACTCGACCTATCCGATAAAACCCAACTCGAGCACTTGTGATAAATGGAGAAAGAGAAAAAAAATTGTAAACCACGCTTCGTCAAAAAACACAATTTTTTTCTCTACGTTTGACATTAAACTAAAATAATTTTGGGCGTAAGCCGGAAGGAGAAAAGATCCAATGGGAAAGATTTTTCGCGGCGTCAAAAGAAGGTTGTGTCGAGGTGATGGTGGTGTCCCTTTCTTGTCTTTGGACACCTTCCGACAATGGGTCGCATTATGGGGTCCCCCAAGCCGACGGTTTCGGCCCCTTTGGCGGTGGGCTTTGCCACGGCCACCCTCGGCGAAAGGAAGATTTATGAAGGCGGCGAGAAACTTGACTTCTTAGGTCGAAGGTGCAACAAGACACACTAATATTAGGTGACAAAACGATAATAATAAGTTTTTATAAAAACCTAAAATGTAAAAAAAGTTAAATTATTTCTTTTCCGTATTATTTTATAATTCATTTTGTGTTATTATTTTCCATCCTCTTCTTTTCGGCTTTGATGAGACCGCATTTATCTCCGTCCGGTTCGTATTAATCAACGGGGCCGAAGCGGACCGCCTGCTGGTTAATTAGGCATATATCTGAGCCCACACATGAAGGCATTATAAGTACTTGGCACAAAGTCGAAAATCGTTTAAAAACCGGCTCGTGCCGATGCATTCTTAATCGGATAAAACGCACGAGGACGTGATTGAATATTAGAAGGTCTTTTACATTAAATTTTCTTTTTTTTAATTTATTTTCTATTCATCATTTTTATTTCTGTAGGTATTTAAAATTTTTCTTTAAAACTAATTTCAGCTCCGACAATTACGTCAAAGAAAGATATTTTTTATTAACAGATACCTTATAATTAGGGCACGGAACTTTTGTAACAAAACGACACGATTTCTCCCCTCCACTCGTTCTCAGCAGAAAATTCCATACAAAAGTTGTTCTAAATTAAATTCTAAAACGATTTTTTCAATAAAAATATATATATAAAATTTTTTTTGATGTTATGTTCTTAATTATTGATCAAATTAAAAGTTTTTATTAACAACATTTGTTTAGAATTACTTCAGGAACAGTGTTTGTTAATAAAATTTTTTGCTAACTTGAAATTTTAATTTCCCACTGAACAGTATGGTACAAAAATTAATATTTTTGAGGTTATATCCTTATTGTTGATTTAATCAAAAAATGTTGTTAACAAAATTTGTTTAGAATTACTTCAGGAACAGTGTTTGTTAATACAATTTTTTGCTAACTTGAAATTTTAATTTCCCTCTGAATAGTATGCTATCAAAATTAATTATCTCAATAATTATTGTTTTTATCAAAAAATGTTTTAAATAAAATTTGTTTCAATTTCGATTTTGAATCAATTATCTTAATAAAAAAATTTTAC